AAATATTTTATAAGTTCAAATAGACATTAGAGAACATTAGCACATTACTTTAAATATTATCAAGTACATGGTCCATTATAATCTTTGACAACTCTAAAATACAAAAAACAAAAAATAATTGATTGTATGTCTTAATCAATAATTAAATTTTGGGCATATCATTTTATAAATATCTAAACAAATAAATGAGCAATTATTGATTACTGAAAGGATTTATATCAAATTCATATGATTTTTCTGATGTTGGGGCCCGATTTGGCAGATATCCCTGAGATGGCTCTACGAGCAAGGGGTGAGCTCAGTAGCAAAAAGCTTCAACAAGGAGAGAATGAAACAGAACCTTGACATCTTCGACTGGTCCTTAACGGAAGAGGAGTCCAACAACATAAGCCAGCTTCCTCAACGCAAGGGAATTACATTTGCATCTATTTTTGGACCTCATGATTGGCTGCTTCAGCTTGATGCTGAGGATTGAGATGTCATCCTTTATATAAAATGAAGAGTCCAAATCATGTATAATTAAGTTCGATCCATCCCTAGTCGGGTGTTCTCTGGCTATATGCTGGTTGAATTGTAGGTCTGTACGTTTACTTAATTAGTTTGCCCCTTCTACTTGATGTAATAATTATGTTATATATATTAAAATTGTACTGGTGTGAACGTAATTGTCTATACAACAACTGTTATACTAGTTAGTCTTTTTATCATTTATTATATAATAATTTTATTTTTATAAAATGATCATATCACATCAATATAAATATCAAAATTTAAATAAAAGAGATATATATATATATATATATATATATATTAGTGCATAATACCCGTTTCATAAGATCTTTTGAATCAATAATATTTATTACTAGTTTTGAATTAAATTTAATTATTATTCTCTCTTATCATGAATGTGGCAATCATGGAGTCAACTCTTTTAGTATTTCATAATTTCACTTCAATATCGCTAAGTTTTAATTAGTGAGGTCTGTCTTTCTACAAACTCTGGTAATAATATTATAAAAATAGGTGAAGTATCGCTTCGGATGTCTTTGTCCTTTTATGAATAATGCGGTGAAATGTTGACTGTAACCCATTTGCTAAAAAAGCACTTGCTTAAAGTCAATAGTCAAATATTAAATTGTGAGTGCCGGTCTACATTTGACAGCCATCTAGAACTTCTTCAAAATTTCCTAATCAGGACAAAGTTTCTCACAGTCAAAGATGGTAACATTTTGAATAAAGTATCCAACCAAGGGCTGCCCAAGCATGACTATTGGCACCCAAACTTAGTCAGGCACTCGCCAAGGACTCGCCCCACTATAAACGCCACCATGATGTGACTATAAAAGGATATGGCTTCGGTTTGGTCAAGTATAAAGCGTTCAACATATAGGCCAAAACAGAGAACAGGGAACCAAGAATGGCAGTAGTAGTACCAGGGGTCACTCTAAGCTCTTGTGATTTAACCATGCCGGTGATCGGCATGGGAACTTCATCAAGCCCCCCTGTTGCTCCAGAGACCACGAAGGCTGCCATCATTGAAGCTATCAAAGCAGGCTACCGTCACTTTGACACGGCCTTTGCATACCGGACTGAGCAGCCTTTAGGTGAAGCAATTGCCGAGGCCTTGCGTCTTGGCCTGATAAAGTCCAGAGATGAACTCTTCATTACTTCCAAGCTATGGAGCAGCTTCGCTGAGAAGGACCTCATCGTGCCTTCCATCAGAATGAGCCTTAGGTAACTTTACTTTTTCCAAATAAGACTTAGCATAAATTTGGCCTGTGCCTTTGTTGATATACTAACTACGCCAAAGTTCCATAAATTTGGTTTTGTTGTTTATCTCAGGAATCTTCAATTGGACTACATTGATTTGTACCTTATACATTGGCCATTAAAATTGAGCCAAGAGGTTCGTCAAATGCCTGTTATAAGGGAACATATATTTCCCTTGGATATCAAGTCAGTCTGGGAAGCAATGGAAGAATGCAAGAGCCTTGGCCTAACAAAGGCCATTGGAGTAAGCAATTTCTCTTGTAAGAAGCTTGAGGAGCTCCTCTCCACTGCCAAAATTCCCCCAGCTGTTAACCAAGTGAGTGAGATGCAGACAGACGAGACTATATAAGAGTTCCAATTCCCAATTCTAATTAATCATTATTGTTCTGCTACTTTTCAGGTGGAGATGAATCCACTATGGCAGCAAAAGAAATTGAGGGAGTTCTGCAAGGCAAGGGGCATTCATGTCTCAGCATTCTCACCATTGGGTGCAAACAACACTAAATGGGGAGACAACAGAATCTTGGAGTGTGATGTGCTTGGAGAGATTGCAAAGGCCCAAGGAAAAACCACTGCTCAGGTGGGTCTGCATTTACTCAAGTGGAAAGCAACATAGCAAGTTTAAAACATAAAAATCATCAAAGATGAAAAAGTATGAACACTAAAAATGCAAAACATGACAGAGATAGAATTTGATTTTAGGAATTTAATCCCTCATGCAAAAAAATATACATTTCATTAACTCATTTTATCATCACGTTGGTTACTAGCTGACGAGTTAAGATTTTGAGATGTTAATTAAACAAATCCCAAGGTTTAATGGTATAACGAAGCTCTATTAATCTGGCAAAGTTATGATTATTGTTGAACTGAACTATCATAGTTAGTTTTACTCTGTATTATAATTATTTATGGCAAGATAGGTGTTTTGATTCCATTGGTGTGCCTGGTTTGGCAGATTTCCTTGAGATGGCTATATGAGCAGGGGGTGAGCTCCATAGCAAAAAGCTTCAACAATGAGAGAATGAAACAGAACCTTGACATCTTTGATTGGTCTTTAACTGAAGAGGAGTCTAACAAGATAAGTCAGCTTCCTCAACGCAAAGGAATTACATTTGAATCTATTTTGGGACCTCATGATTTGGCGCTTGAGCTCGATGCTGAGAGTCTAGATGATTGCTGATTAGGAAATTGTGACTCACATGCCGCACTTCCTTTTCTCCACTAGGATCTATGGTTTTTTGCGCTTCACATATATCAGTAAATAATGATGCACACTTACAATAAGATATAACATGATGGGTCTGTTTCCATCATTTTTCTCAGTTCATGAAAGATTTACAGTCAGTGGGCAAGAGGAAAAGCAGTACATGTAAAAACGGTGCAGCTATATAACTAATGAACTAAATATAAAATCAAGGACGATTATTCGCATAATGTGTTGGAGCAAATGGGGTTTAGATTAAATTTAAGGAATTTGTATAAAGCGTTAGGTTTTTCAGAGAAGAGTGAAGGGCTCTGCCGGTTAGGAAGAAAAAGAAAGAAAGAAAGTAACAAGAGGCCCCTGGGTTGTTTTCTACGGAGGGTTTGAGCCACGAAGCCCTTTGCTAGGTGGTCGGATGTTCGATGCCTACAAAGGCGCGTTTCATTTTGGAAGAAGAGAAGAAAAGAAAAGGGCTCAAACCCAACTTTAAAACATGTAGATTAGGTTTTTGTTTTTTAGATGAATCTAAAATCAATTTCGAATTTCATTAAGGAGAATTAATGTAATAGATAACTGATCGCACCTCGACAAAAAATTATTGATGGTGATTTTCAAAATGTTGCATCTAGAGTGATCAGGTTGTCGAACTCACACAGAGTGACACATTAGAGCCTTCTTTTTGTAACAAGTAAATTATGAGTAATTTGAACTCATTGGGTAGATAATTGGAACTATGTTTCCTTTCAAAACATAATTCTTCTATTGCTATTGATTTTTCTGTTATTGTCTTGTTTTTGGTATGTTAACATGGTTGACAGTAAATTCTTTATATAAACTTGCAAGTGTTTCTTTTCAATGCCACAATCCTTTCATCAAAGCATCTTTTTGTATAAAAGATACTTTTGTATATTGTAAGATACAACTTCTAGTTGAAAGTATTATTTCAATAATTACTTTATGAAAAGACAATCACTCATTCCATAAGACATAATATGAAAAAATAACTTTTCACTTCAAGAGACAATTTTTATTTTGAAAATACACCAACAATCTCCCACCATTTTCAAAATTCCACCATTTTCAAAATTTTCAAATATCAAAAATTTTGGGAATCATGTGATATGAATGAAGGTATCTCTTAGATTTGAACCTTTATTTAGTGATTGTGGCTGGTTCTACTCTAAATTAAATGGTTGACTAAGCATTCAACCATTGATTCTTCATTTGACTAGTCAAGCCACTACCACACACAAGCTTCCTTGCTTACTCTATATTTAGTTTTGCCAACACATTTTATGGCCTTGTGTTTTGCATCCATTCATGAGTGGTGTCATAGTCAAGCCTTTAGCTCTTAGAAGCAACCACACTTTCATTCATATCAGTGGCCCCCATCGAAAGTCCCTCGTAATTATAATACTTCAACATATACATGTTATATGAATATTATGAACTTTGTTCAACCATGCTTTACACATTATGGGAACCAAGCATTATACACCTTAGGATGAAAAATAAAAATTAGTGCTTGCAATAATCCATGTGGTAGAATAGTCAGTACCCAAGACTTTCAAGTCGGCCACAAGCATCGAGGTAAGCTCCCACCATTGAAGATTTAGTTGATAGGCTTGAGACCCATTTCTTTTTAAGGTCTTTATTTCAAAATTCTTTTCAGACCTTCAGTAAACAAATCCCCTAAGTTTAGGTCAAAGCAAATAGTTAGTTCGATTTTGGATATCTTATAACCAAACTAACCGAACTGATCTTCTAAACTTACCGAAATTGAACCACACTAGAATAATAACTAAAAAAAATTATAAAACTGAAGTAGTTCAATTTGATTTTTGAAAATTGCACTAGGGGAAGATAGTTTCAAAAAATTATAGCTTTTTCTTAAGCTAGCTCTCCCAGCAAAAGAACCTAATACAATAGTGAATTTATGAGCTGCACTCAAGCTTCCTTTAATCCTCATTGTAGTGAACAAGCAATTACAAAACTAAATTATTCTAAAATATTCAACCCAAATTCATAAAACTCAAATCATAACTTACAAATTGGTCATTGACCACCCAAATTCATCAAGCAACTTCTAACAAATAAGATAGCCAGATGGATACTCATACAAACAACAACAAAAAACACCAAATCGATAATAGTCTTTAAAGATGGATGCAAACAACAACAAAATAGTCTTGAGCAAACAACAATAAATTATTAACAGTCTACAACTTAGCATAAACACATAGTCTTGATGTCATTAGCAACTTAGTATAAACACAAGTTGTACCTTGAAAAGTTACAAAAAATTAAAAAAAAACATCATTAGTTTCAAATAACAATGGCAAATGATTATTAATTCATTTGATAAAAAAGTTAACTAAGAATTTATAAACCCAATGTTTATAAATTTTTCATAAATTAAAGAAAAAAAAGGAAGTTAGAACATGTTAAATATTTTATAAGTTCAAATAGACATTAGAGAACATTAGCACATTACTTTAA